TCACCTCCCGGGCAGTACAACAGAGCCCAAATAAACCCTTTGTGCCTTTAGCTGCCACCGTGATGCAGGACACCTACACATGCACCCCATCAGAAAAAAAAAAGTTTTTTTTTCTTTAATATCTGAGTTTCCCAAAAAACCGCCAACCCCAAGCTGTATTTCTAGGCTGGCTGACCTCACACCTTGTACTTTTTACCCGTACTGCCCAGCCCTACCCAGAGCTGTGGAAAGATTTGGTCCACAGAGAGTCAGGGCCAAGCTGGTCTTCGAGAGTTGCCATTTTCTTTTGCTTTTTGGTGGGGACTAGTGGTGGCTGAGGGCGGGGGGAGGCACCGCCCTGTAACTCCCTCTCAAACCTCTAGTGCAAGCAGGTATCGGATCGGTGGCGCGCGTACAGGCTGCCCTGCCCCAGCGCCGCATCTGCACGGGTGCCCTTCACACGCAGCCTCTGGGCTTACCAGCTGTGGGACAGGAAGGGAAAGGTATTTCCCACTAACCCAGTAAATAAATGGAATGAGATCTCACATACAACTCCTGCAGTCAGGCAACGCACCTTCTACCAGGTGGTACAACCAGGGTTAACCCAACCTTCCTCCATACAAAGGAAAAGATTTCTGGGCTGAGCTTAAGGTACCTGAAACAGACCCACACGGTGTCTCCCACTGCTGAGACACGCTCAGATTTATTTCCATCGCTTGCTACCTGTGAGAGGTGACCTGTTGAGAAGGAAGTTTTAAATACTCTGCTACATCTGAGCAAATGGCCATGTAAGAATCCCTCCTGGCTACTTGAAAAGAGCTGAAGAAGAAACTTAAAAGTAGTTGGCATCAGTCAATTATGATACAGCAAGTCAATCAGACCCAGCACCAACATCTGTTTGAAATAACCCTCAGGTAGACAATAACTTCTAAGAGAAGTGTCACGGAAAGAGACGAGGAAAAAATAAGCTGCTGTTTGCTTTCATTTGGCATGCTGCTCTGTGCCCTGGACAATGGCTGATAGGCCCTCGGGTACCTGCTCTTGCAAAGTCAGTCACTGCTCTTCCGTCGCACGGACTATGATAAGGGAAAGGAAAACATTTACAAATGGGAGACCCCACTATGAAAATCCATTAAAACTGACAGTGCTGCGTACAGATACCATTGCAGAACCAGAGAATTAATTACAGCCAGACAAAAAAACTTGTGCTGAGGCTCTCACCTACTGCCTTGTGCCTGCGTGTGCAAATACCTGCTTTTCCCCCAAATCTCTCAGTATTCATTAAACCCCCTGACCCTCACCTTTCACAACGTGATGAGTTGAATGGTTGCCGTGATTTTGCCCGACTTCTTTCACCAAGCCAGCAGCTATACCACCCCCCCCCCCCGAAGGCAAATACGCGAGCGAGGGCCAGCCAGGTATTTCTGCTGATCAGATTAAAGCAGCCAAACAGTTCTGCTCTCAGTTTTGCTTTTTTAACCATAGCGAAACTTTCTTTGGCAAAGAGACAAAAACCTGCCGAAGTAGCTCAGGGGCACTGCTCTGCCAGAGGAACGGTGCACGTGTGCGGGCTGTGTTCGCGGAGCTGCTGTTCTTACCGGGGAAAAGGAACTGGCTCACCAGACGCTCAGGGCCACCCAGGCCCATACACTGCAACGCCGGTCAACTGCTGGCACAGCAGGAAATGTAAGGGCCCTTTTTGGCAACTGCAACTCAAACCAGAAGCTCAGAAGAAAAAAAAAAAAAAATGCCCATTTGCGAAGCTGCAGTCTGTTGAGTTTTCCCTCATCCCAAATGACTGTGTCCATTAACCCTCTGTTGCCCGCTGCTACTCAAGACACAGCTAGCGCGGCTCGGGGCGGCTCGCCCTGGCTGCGTGTTAGAGCCCCGGCATACGGTCGCTGCCGCCCTGGCCCTCAGGCTGCCTTGCTTCAAGGAGCCTCTGCATTTCCATGCTACATGATGTATTCTATCACACCCACAGTCAACAATTAAAATGAATAAATAATTCAAGTTTTGTAAGAAATAAAATGTTAAATTGTTAAAAAACACGATTATTTACATTTTGATTATTCAACGGGCTTGTTTCCAACACCACTACTACTTAATTACCAGAGAAGCAAACAGGCCTCACCTTCTATTAGCAGCTACATCCCAGCACCACCCCACCCGGGTCTGGAGGTGTGCACGCTTCTGCCCCAGCAGCCTTGGAACGCACCTCTTTGAATTCAAACACGTAAGCTGCACCCAGATTTTATTTTATTTTTTCTCCATTAGGAGTTACTTTGTTACAAGACTTGTTCAGGGACAAATCAACCTCTTTCTACACAACCCGAGCTGTTTCTGCATCGAAACAGGACATCCACAGCCCTGTGCTGGCCTTTGGCCCCAGGCAGCTTGGCAACCGCATCCCAACCTGGCAGACCTTTGCCCGTGCTTCAGACAACAGACACCCTGTGAGCACTACCCCTGGCAAACCTTCCCTGGAGCGGCGTCTCCAGGACCTCATGCCACCCCTCTGCACCACCAGCCCCAGCCCAATGCCTGCCTCTGTCTCCTGCCAAGATCACGAGGAGTTATGGGAGGGCACCAGGAAGAGGCAAGGCCTCTCAGATGTACGGGGTTTGTGTAACCCGTGTCTATCCTGCTCTAGTGGTCTGCCGGTCATTTTGTTCTGCCACCACACACCACCTTGGCACCACTTGACCCAACATCTCCTTTTAATAGCTTCAAAGGTCTGTACTTATTCTCGCTTTTTCCAGACTCTTCAGCTGTGTACTTAGTTTACAGGTTTAATATCCACTCTGCAGCTGTTTCAAGCTGACCTGAACGCACCTGATGCAGAAACAGGCTGTTGGCAGAAACAACCTTGACCTAGTGATCACATACAATTTGTTTCCTATCTACAAGCATAGCGACCAACCTAGGTTTGAAATCTCTTCATACCTTTGTCAAGCTGGCCCTCAGCCACCAAGATTTGGGTAACTATTTCTTGTTTCTTACTCCTTCCTCTGCTTCTCTACGATTAAAGGTGGCAAGCTCTTGAGATGGGAAGAATTTGGAGGAGCTTGATGCCATTTCCAGACCACTGGTTGTTGCTGGTTTTGTTGACAGGTGAGATCTCAACTTTAACAGTACTGAAGTGCATAAACTGAAAAACTGTTGTATCACCTAAGATTGCCATCCACCAGGTATTGTTTCTTGCCCTTTAAAAGCCTTGATGAATAGAGACATAGGCAGAGCTTCAAAGGTACTTAATAGTTCCTTAAGATTTTTGGTGGGAACTAAGTACGCAAATGCTCTTACACACACGGGTCTTGGTGTGTCAGGAGCAAGCCATTGGTGCCTCTGGCCCTTACACCTCCCTTCCCAGCTCCTTCTGCCTCAGGTTGCTAAAAACGTCCAGAACACTGGCTGAAAGGTATTTCCGAAGAGGAGCAGGCCGGGGGGGGTGGGGTGGAGGTGTCTACCTAAAAACTGAGGTTGCTGAAAGCAGAACTAAGTGCAAGGAGACTGACGCATACTTATTTACATTTTTGATGGACAGCTCTGCGAGTCATGCACGTTTTGACTTCTCAAGCCTCATATGCACCGTCTTCCGTGCCAGAGTAATCCTCCTTTTAGAAAAAAGTATTCCGTACTGTGCTGCAAGCCAGAGCAAGACATTTGCCTCCTCCGACCCCTTTCAGGGCTTGCTCTGCTGTCGTTCATGTGGCAGCAGTAAGAGTTGGTTGCTCTGCCACTGTATTCTCTGAAGCAGTCAAGGCAATGGCCTCTCAGAACTGATAGACATTGTTCCAAAGACTTGGTTTGCTTCATTTTGGCATTCCCACAGTCATTCTTTACAGAGAATTCATTTTTTTTTCATTTAAAATTATTATTTTGTATTTTGCTGGTCACTTCCATATTGCTTCATTCAAAATCCAGAAAACAGTTCAAATAAAATCAGAACTTAAGTGCAAACTAACTTTCCAGTGAACTGCTATGTGCGTTTTCTCCAGTCCAGTGTCTGTCTTCCAGTTTAAAGGACCCTTCCCACCACCACCCCACAGAACACCAGCAGCCTTCATGACCCATATCAAAGCCTCCAGTTCTCCATCTTGTCCTCAATGTTGCCTGACAGCATCCCCAACTCCCTTCGTGGTCACGAAGAAGAAAAAGAGGGAAGAATTTGTGTGGGTCTTTTTATGCATCTATAGCCAGCAGGTATAAAACAGGAAAGCAAAGCTTTTCGCATACAAATCTTGGTTTCTTGGCCTTTTAGCTTCAAAAAGAACATGTTGGAAGTGTGATTTTGTTACTCTCTTCTGAAAGGGTTTTTGTGTTTAAAGTGTTTGTCATGTTGGCACATATACAAAAATGGTCGTGTCATGTACCAGTTCTGAGCTGGAGTCTCTGCGGTTAGGAATTGGCACAAAACCATGGTGTGGCTCAGAAAAAGGGTTTAGCTGCATGTTAGAGTCACATCATCATTTCTTGGAAAGCCACGATGAAGATCTGAACGATTATGAAAAGCCAGGTTAGCCATTTTCAGTTGCTGGGATAGAAAGTGTTAGAGAAAGAAATTGGATTCTCAATCTCAATTACTATGCTATCACACATGATACAAAAATTGTCCATTTTTCCCTCTAATGGAAACTGCATTGAGATTTCCAGGAATGCACAGTGTCTGGGTCGAATCACTGAGAACTAGCTCGACAGCAGGCAACAATGCCACTGGCCTTTACTGGTACTGTCTGGCTTCTCTGACCGTCCGACTCTCCAGATCTGCGGAAAGTGAGAAACGCAAGGTTGTACGCGCCTTCTTTCAGTCTCTTTCCTTCCTTCCTTCCTTCCAGGTTCCCAACCCAATCTACAAACGACTCCAAGACATTCTTTCACTTGGAAATATCAAAAATGAGTGATCTGGCAAGAAGAGGAAGGTCATGGGAGAAGGGGGGGTGGGGAGAAAAGGAGAGCGAGAGAGAAAGAGTGAGGCAGCTAGAAGGGGTTGCCTTTCCACTTCCGTAAGACCATGGTCACTACACCACTGTATTTCGGTGTCTGTAGGGTGGCGGGGGCAGCACAGTGCCAGGCTTCAGGGAGAACTCGGAGAGGTATTCAGGATTCTCTGCCACAATGGGCCGGATCCGTCCATTCTGTTTGTAAAAGTATTTTGTGCTGTACTCTTGCAGGTAGTCCGGGTGCTGGAGGGTGCTTCGTGGGGGCAGGCTGTGATTCCAGTAGTCTGGGTTGTCAAAGGCCTTCTTGGCTTTCTCCGGCAAATTGTTCTTCAGGTACTCGGCATTATCCAAGGTGTTTGCAAAAGTGTTGAGGTACAATGGCTCATTCACGTACTCATCCTCTGCTTTGGGCTGCCCGTTCGGAGCGTTGTGATACTCTGGGTTGTCCACAGCTTGGAGATCTCCATTCTTTCGTCGGGAAACAAATGGGTTCTCTTCCACCGGGTTCAGGTAATCTAAGGAAAGATTAAAAATAGATCAGCAAAGAGAGGGAGTAATCCATCCCTGTAGCAAGCATCATGTGTGTGTTACTACCAGGCTGTACCAGGAGCAGTACTCGGATTTGTGAATCCTTCCACCCCAGCCACTCATTCCAGCAAAGCTGGAAACTGAGCTACAGCTCTCACTGAGCCATAGCCCGTCTGCCTTGTTTGATCCTGAACTTCCTCTCAGAGTATGACCTACAGAGCCAAACGTGCCGAGCGACTTCTGCCTCTGCTGCTGACTCTCTTGGCAACCTTGGACATATCAGTCAAACCCTCTTGCTCTGCAGTCTTTCCATCCAGAAAGCTCTACAGAAATCTTAGTTAAGCCTCTCTGCACAAAAACCATCCCCAAGGGCTAACTTCTAAGACAGCTTCCTTTCTAACAGAACAATTTGCCTGATTAAAAACCTTCCATCCCTGAAGGACAAAGGGCCTTGAAGCATTATGAAAAAAATGATTCAAATGAGCCCTGGAAAGAGTACAAGAGAGTCTAACATCAGCTCCAAAACAGGACATGGAGCAGGTTACAGTTACTTCAAATCACTTTCTGTGGATTAACACCACAGAAAAACGTAGCTGAATCACAGAAAGCTTTTAAGGCATATGGAGCTTGCATGGAAAGCTAGACAGGGGGTGGGGGAGGGAAGAGAAACATAAAGAGACTGGCTGTCTGAGGTTAAAAACGCACGTTTAGTAAGCTCCCTCCTACAGTTACACACAGGTGACCGAGCCGCAGAGCCGTGGATTCTTTGGGTGTCATGTTCTGCCTTGCTCTGTATTTGAGGTCTTGCTGCAAAACACTAAGCCAATCAGCCAGGGCAGGAAGGAGGTTGCTGACACTGCAAGTCGGCTGCAAAGGAAATGGCTTGGAGGTGGGCTGGGGACAAAAATGGGGGTGGGACCCCTGCAGCAAGATAATCAAAACCATCCAGTTCATTCAAAGCTGGAAATGATCAGATCAAACCCACTTCCAGTATTAATTCTGTCTTTAATCTCACAGCCTAGAGGTGCCCTACAAAACAGGATCTCCAAGCCCTTGCCATCAGTGAGGGATGACCTCTCAGCTTGCCAACTCCAGTAGCATGGCTCTGGTCACGGGCTCTGGAGACACTTCCACACAGAGTCCTGCCCACAAGGGAACAGGCCCTGCAGCCACACAGTAGTTGTGGTCCTCACTTCAACTCCGGTTTTATCCATGAACAGGCCAAAACTATTAAATGCAAAAGTTCAAGACTTTGTGAGTACCTGTGACCACACAGCTTAAAACTGCTGAATCTGAGAGGTGGAACAGGTACATGTGCCTGCACCAAGAGCGTAGTGGAATCATTTTTTTTCTTAAGCAATGATATCCCAGCAGTGCTTTGATTTGAGTTCCCCAGCTGGCAGAGGGCATGCAGCATCATGGCCACACTGTGACATCCCTGCATCTGTGCCCAGTGAGACAGGAAGGAGGTGCTTTCTCCTGAGCTGCTACTACCACATCCCCTAGGGCTCAGGTAGCACCTGTGAAGTGTTATGCTCCTGCAGAACTCTGAGGCTCCCCAGGGCGAACCTGCATGTGAAGATACATGTGGGCCCACACTGAAGCAAACTCACAGCATCAAGGGTGATGCAAGGGCTGTTGCTGAAGAGCAGAGCCATGAGTGCACTCCCACAATTGCTACTGCCATGGGTCAAGCCCCAGGACTCCTTCCATTTCCACCATGTAACACAAAGGGTAAGTGGCTTCCAAATTCTGAAGCAAACCCAGTAGTTACTTGACATTTACATTTGCATTAATTTCTTTAAAGCTAATGAAAAGGTTTGAAAGCAAATTACTAATGACACGTCACCTTACATCTAAATGACTCCTGTCACTATTTAAAAAGGAAGAAATGAAGGATGGCAAACTGGGAAGTGTAGCACTCTGTGCTGAGCTGGCACAGATCTAGGCAAACTTCACCTTGCAGTGATGGTCTCTCTGAAGCACACCTTATTCTTTCAATCCTAAACTTCTCTTGGGTATAAAATGCCAACTGTGTGTATCGCTTCTGTGACATGTTCAACATGACATTTATCAAGCACAATGACATGAAGATAAAGAAGATCAATAAACAAAGCAAAGTGGAGGCTATGGTTGGCCAAAGATAGATCCTTTTCTTGGAAATAACTGAAGATTTGTGTTTGGATAAGGAGGAGTTTTTTGGTTTTTTTTTTTTTCATTCCTCTCTCTTGTTATTTCCCAGAAAGAAAAGTTACAGGTGGAATTACCAAACTTGACATTTTGGCACATTTGAGCTTTTCTAAGTAGTAAATTAAGGAAAGAAAAATGAATCCCCATGCAAAGAAATATTAAGCAAGTCAGAATGTTTCAACCTTGCAGGGTTATTCAATAAAGCCATTTTTGGTGAAAAGCTGCTGATGTAGAAAAAGAGAGAATGCAGTTAGTCTAGAGCAGGAGCTTCTCTGGGAAGACAATTTTTTACCTGTTTTAGGTTTGTCTCGCATTGGCGTCATGTACCCATCCTCATCCAGCTCTCCCCGGATGACCCGCTCGGGTATGAAGACTGTGGGATCAGCGCTGTACCTCTGGGTGCTGCTGTCCTCTTTTGCCAGGGTTGCCACTTGCTTTCGTAGTGTGCCATTACAGCAAGTATCTTCAAAGATCTCTGCTGTGGCCCCTTGAGCAACTGGGGCTTCTGGTATTACGCAGCCAGGAGCTCTGTACGGCATCGGCACTTCTGCAGCATAGCCACCATCTCTATACACAAACTGGTTCTGTTGAAAAAGAAAAGGCAGCATGAGAAAGGAGGCTCCGAAGGGAGAGAAGATTCAACAGCAAGTCATCTCTGTGGCTCCTGTGCCTCTCCTGCCACACGTGCTCAATGATGCATTTCACCAGGCAGGTGAAGCCTTGTCTGTCCTGCAGACTACTTCGTTTCCAGCGCTGCAGGATCGGCAGCAGCACAGGCTGCAAAGCGTCCGTCTGCCCAGTGGTGCTGAGCCGGCTTCCCCTCCCAGGGAGGCACCATCGGCGCAGCGAGGGGGGCAGGGAAGCAAGCTGGCTGCTCAGGGCTGGAAATGAGGCTGGAGAGCGGGCAGGAAAACTTGTCTCCTACCTAGATATGTGGAGGTTGGACATGCACAGCTGCAAGAGGCAAACACGGTATCTCCTCTTCTATTACTTTGGCAATCTCCCCTGATGCTGAACAAGCCCCTTAAACCTCATGTTAGGGAAATCTCCTACTGCAAAGGGGACTGGGCACAGAGGACATTATCACCTCAGAACTCCTGGGGGAGCCTACTTTTAGGGTGTCCTGCAGTGGCAATCACATGGTCACCCAAACACTATGCAATACCATCAGGCAGTGCATTTCAGGCTGGCGAACTGTGTTTGTAGTGGTACCTCATCTCAATGGTTCAACTCAACCTACCATTTTGCTTGTCAGCAAGGGAGTGCAAGGAAATTTCAACACCATGACCTATAAATAGGAAGGAAAAATGTACAGATTCATCCCAGCCTGTTACCTAAATGCTTTTTCAAGAAAAGTTGGCAGAATTTTGGGTGTAGGTCCATAGAGCTTGCACATGAATCCAGGCTGAGTGTAGAGATCCTATTTGGTTACATACACACTTCATTCACTGTTGGCTTTTGGGCCATTTATGTAGGAAAAAGGGGTTTGAAACAGAAAATACGTAGTGGAGGAAGAAGGAAAACCTAAAGGATGAAGGTTGAATATGAAATACTTACTCCTGACATAGGGGTGTAGGCAGGAGGAGGGCTGTGTCCAATTTCACTCTAATAGGAAAGAAAAATGGAATGATGGATACGTAATAAGAGGTCACATGAATGAAACAAGTCACATGAGCTGTATGAGCTAATGGGGAGAAACATGCACATCAGTTAGATTTCCTAACTGAAGCCAAAATTCAAGGAATTCAATCATGGCAAATGTCTCACCAGTGTCAACAAGCTGTGTGCCTCACCAGTCTTAGGGAGGGCTACTGAGTTCCCCTTGCTGGATAAGGGCAAGTGCCATGTTACACCTACTGACAGCTGCATATCCTGCAAATGTCTCATGTTTTAATTTTTGGAAAAACATGTGGTACAGAAAGAACGACAGACAGTGCACTCAATTTCAGAGGCAGGAGAAGTGCAGAAGGCATCTAGCTCCAAGCCAAGGCTTCCTCTCCCAGGGACAAAGCAGGAGAGGGATAAGTGGGAGGACAGGAGGGTGCAAGACTGTCATTAATCCCTGTCATGGCTAGCTCAAGTATCACAGCAAAAACAGTCCCTAGGCTTTGGTAGACCCAAAGAGCACAGCAGCTGCTGGATTTCAAGACTATGCCATGGTCCTGCTCTCAATATATACCATCCTTCTAATGCTACCTCTGTATCACAGGCTAAGGGGTTTCACCGAGAAATCTGGAGGCTGTACATCGAAGTGTCCGTGCAGAGATTTTCCTTTTGGTATTGGTTTCTGGAACCATCCTGTGGACCCTGCGCTGCTGTAACATCAACACAACAGCGGCTGAATTTATACTTATTACTGCTACTCAAACCTGGCCTGTTTTTCATTGAGGAAATGCTGATTTTTGGAGGAAAATAAAAATAAAACGAAGACCCCTTTATTTTTTATCTGTTTTTGTACTGCCAAAATGTTATTTTTAAGACTAGAAGTTCAGTTCTTCATAATCACTTTGTTTCACATTTTGTTTCAAAAACTTTATTGTATTTGCCTTGTCTCCTAGTTGTGGGAAAGAAAAAGCCAGGGTTTGAAAAAAAGGTCTAAGCTTGAGATAAATTAGGAGAAACCCACCACCTCAGGAGAGAAGTCTAGCCACCCTGAGAACACTCCACTTTAGAAGGTATCTCATTTGTTGCAATCGGTTTCAAAAACATAGCCACACCAAGAAACACAACAAAATTAAAAGACGAGACAACATGCATCCTCACGTAGTAAGGACTGGATGTACTACAGTCAATCTTTGCCATATAAACTTCTTGCCAAAACATCAGGATGGAGGTGATGGTCACTGACAAATATCTTATTTTATAAAGGAATGCTTTGTGTTTAAGCAAAATATCTGCATCAGGAAAAACCTCAAAACCAAACATAAACTTTTTTAAAATGCATGCTGCTTATCTGAAGACCCTTTTCTGGTGATCAAAAATATGCCCATTTCCTTCTATTTGAAATATTCGCACAGGCATTTTGTTACTCAGATCTAGGACTTTGTGCTTGAGGTGTAAATGTAGTGATGAGCCATAGTTAGAGATACACTTTTCTCCATCCCCATGAAAATTCATCCATATTTAGCCAAGTTATGACCTAAAAAAGCCTCAAGGCTGCAAATTACAAAAGTGCAGGAAAACTTTTGTTAGCTGAATTGTCTGTCTGCACCATCCATTAGTAAGGCTTGAGCAGGACTCCGTAGTTGTTTTTCCCCAGGGAAACTAGGTGCTGGAAGGGAACACAGGAGAGGATCTATGGCAGGGTCTCAGTGATCCCGCTGCCAGTGGGGAGAGGGGGGAGGAGGAAAGGGCAGTCTGAGCGGCCTGCAAAGGAGTTGAGAGGCTGGCAAGAAAAGTGGTGCTGGAGGAGCTGGCAGCTGGGATGCTGAGGAGCCAGGGAATGGTGGCTTGCAAAGGAATAGAGGACAATGGCAAGTGAGAGAGACTGTGAGGTGCAGGGAGGGAGAAAGGGTTGGTATGTGACAGGAGGCTCAGTAGAAAGGGAGAGATGGTAATAAGACCTAAATGTGACAGGGAGAAATGGAAGGCACAAGGACAGAATAAAACACTGAAACAGCCACTTCTCTAGAGGCTGGGGATGAACTTGAACCTCCTTTGCTGTCAGCAAATCGCTCTCAAATCAAATGGCCAAATACAGGCCTGGTTCAGCTGGTGCAGAGGGAGCCGAGCAGCCGTCGCTCCACCCTTAGTGCAAGTGCCAGAGCTCTGCCTGGCGCAGCCAGCGGGAGCTCCGAGGGCTCTGCGCAGGGGTAACAGGGCTGACGGAGGAGGGGCTGAAACACCACCGAAGTCTAGGCCAACCGTGACTGATTTCACTAAGTGGTCACCAAAGAGCTCATTATGCTTGAAAAGCAGAGTTTAAACTTAAAGCCTGAGCCTGGGAGCAGCTTTGGCCTCTCTGATCCAGCTGTGGCTGCTGACAGCCAGAGAAGTGAGGATGATGCCAAGTGCAAAGAAAGCACTGTCTAAGGCAGTACAGAAAGCCTGGAAACTTCAGTGCTGCCCCATCTGTGCATGGTCTCTCTCTTATTCAAGATGAGTGTACTTGTATCCAGAAGAAAAACAGCCAAGAAAAGTTCACAAGTAGGGAAGGAAAAAACGAAGTCAGCAGTTGGCTGGCTGAGATGATCACACTTGAGAGAGATCATGACAGAAGAGGAAACATAAGACACTTTACCAGAGATTGCTTTTTTGTTTTCTAAACAGAGCAGGCATCAAGGTCCTCAATACACATCTGGATACAGACTATGCAGCAAGCTTGTAACTTGCCGGTCTTCTCCAAAGGCTTTTTTGGGACAACTAGGAAGGTCCCTTTAAACAGGGGAAACGGGATTGTGGAGGTCAGACCCCCTCTGAACCCCCTCACCTTTCTTTTGGACCAGAGATTTATTGTCACCTTGTAATGACATATGGACAGGTTACAACCCAGAACGTACTAGACAAATGAATAAAAAACATCCCCTGAGCCTGCCAGATGCTCTTTGACGATGCTAGTGATAGCTGTAGGATATTGCACTGCATATAGGAGACTTAATCTGCCTTCTTCTTGCCCTCTGATCTCATATTTACTTGAATTCAGGGAAGCTTTCTGTATACTCCAAAAAGATGGAGAAGGAAAGACTGAATACAGGTAAGTAATATGGTCCATGAAGGGTGGTGAAGATTTAGGCAAACTGATGCTTGTGGGTAGAATCCAGAGAGAAACACAAAGTGCTGACTACAGAGGGTCAATTCTCTTAACTGTGAGGAATCCAAAGCTCTGCCTGGAATCCTCTACCTCCTTGTAAAGCTCCCCAGCTCCCCTTCCTCCTGTCTGCAGGCTGCCAGACTCCAAAGAGGGGGTTGGCTTCTTTCAGTTTCCAAGGTGGCTACAGCCCTTCAGACTGTAGGAGAGTGGAAAGAGCTGTAGCAATACTCTGTTACTATTACCTGCAGAGGATTGGAGTTCACTGCTGCCTGCTTTTCACAGACACTAAACCAGTGACTGTAACCACTCCTTTTCTATTTGGTACTAACGTGTTACATTACACACCTTTAATTTACATATTTCTATTTTCATAGGGGCACTCCCATGAATTCCAACTTGTGGCTCATTGATTCTGCATGAGTAAGGGTAGAGCTGTCTTGAACTACTTTTAGTTCATAGCCCACAGTGATCTTAAGGGTAACTTAGAAAAGCAAGTCTTTTGTCAGCAGGCTTGGCTTCAGTACACAGGGCTGTGCTTTTCTGCCAGTAAATGTTTAGATGATTAGCAACTTAAAAAAATATTGTTCTAGGATGGCCACATTATCTATCCGTAGGCATGCTTTGCTCCACCCTCATGACAAAAGGCTAAACCCAGCATCCTATCTTTAGATCTTCTTGGCTGTGACTCTAACATTTAAATACATACAGTGCAACTATAACAACATAATAACAGGCCCGTCCCAAGATGTCAGGAGAGAACTGTCTGGCATTAATGCATTTATTGCTATTTTTGCTGAAAAGACCCTTCCCAGTCAGTGACCTGCCAACTAAGATCACAGTAATGGTATTTTCTTCATACCTCCCCTTTAGCTCTGTACTAAACATAGCTGTCTTGCAACACCCTTTACACAGAACCTTACAGCTTGGCTCTTCTCCAAACCACTGGTGTCTACACGCTTTTTTAATTCTTTACTGTTTCCCCCCATGAGTTAATACCCTGTGGCCACTGTTCCAAAAAAACGAGGCAAAGAAAACAGCTGTGGTGCCAATTAGTGGGGCTGAAAATGTGATATAATTGTTTAAATGTCTTTAAATTGCCTGCTAATTGCAATGTGATGTCATCATTTTGTAGGCTTCCAAGAAAAGTACTGAAAGCCAACTCTTACTGGTCAGGACATGAATCACATTATGAGTAAAAGATACATTTGGACCTTACCAAGTAAAACTTAAATAGCTTGATTTGTATGTGTAATCCAATTTACTTTATTATTTTGTTGTTGTTGTTTTTACATGTTAAATACTATCTTGAAATCAAAGAGCTGATGTTCCTTTACCAAGAAGGTCTAGGTTTCTGGGTTTCTGATCCTGAAATTCTGACCTGAATTATCAAGATCTCTAGCTTGTAGAGATGGACAGAGATTTCAGAGGCTTGCTGCTCAAAGACCTCACTACATAAACCTACTTAAAACCTCTCAACTTGCATGCTAAAAAAAAAAAATAACTGATCAATAATCACCCCCTTTTGATAGTGTAATATG